TTCTCATTCTGAAAATATGAAATTTATAAGACCAATCTGTCTTTTCTTCAGGTCTCTGCCCTGATAACACAATTGATCAATTATTCCATTTATCTCTCATATTCAGCAGCTTTTTTCCACCACCACCTTGCCTTCTCAAAGCTTCTCCACTGTTAAAAATATAACAACTTTCCTTCAATCTTACCTTATCCATAATTTATGGCCTTTAACCTCCCATACCAGTCACCACCATGATTTTGGGGAAAAGCTCAGAAACTCCCGCACCCCTAACCCATTGTGATTTGGAGTCTTTTAATACTATCTATACCAATCCTGCTCTGATAGGGTCATTAAAGACCAGATCCAGTGGCTTTCTTTTAACTGTCATCCTAGCTGACCTCTTCTGGATTTGACACTTTTGATCCCTCACTCTTTTTAAATCAGCTTCACTCTTGGCTTTCAGGTGACACTCTCTTCTGGTTCTCTACCTATCTCTCAGGGGGACCCTTTCTCAGTCTCTTTTCCTTTGTTCTTCCATTTGCCCCTTAAATGGTGATGTTTCCCAGAGAGTTTATATGGCCCTTTTCTCTTTACAAAATACTCCTTTAAGTAACCACACCTACTTCTGTGGCTTTAACAACCACCCAAATATAGAGAAATTATCCTCAAATGTGTATGTCTAGCTCAGACCTGATCCTGAGCTCTAAACTCTTAAGTCAAATTCAAGAAAGAACACAGCAGAGACCTTTATTTACACTCCAAAGCTTCCAGTTAAACTCACTGCAGTCTACCCCTTTGATTCACTTAATGGCATCACTTTTCATTCATTTTCAAGGGAGCAGTCAGCTCCCCCACTCCATCACCCACTTTTCCCTCCACCATGTGGGCAAAATTCCCTCTAATTCTGGTGACTGTATGACCTTCTCCAATATGTCTCTTTCCTTACACTCCCAAAGCCACTGCCTAAGTTTTTTCCATAACTTTACAAACAGCCTTTGTACCATCTTTCTCTCTCTCTCAATCCAGTATTCACACAGCTGCCTTGCCGTATTATGATTACAAAATACAGTTTTAAGTATATTATTACTGTTTTACAGAAAACTTTCATCCATCTCATCCTATCTATAGGATAATTTCTTTTATGTTTCATGGAACCTAAAAGAGTTTGTCCAATTCAATGTCTTCCACAGATGCTTGGTCTACACACGCTCCCCCAACACAACTACACACCAGGCACAATGCCCTATTTTCCTATCCCAAAAGATCATACATGTTCATTACTCTGTGCACAATTTCCCTCATTCTATCCCCACAGCCTCTTCTCCTGGCCTCACGGCCACATTTCTACTAGTGAAATCCTGCTACTTGAATGTCATCTCCAGTGTGAAACTGTCCCTGATTCCAGACTCAAATGATTCACTCCTTCTGCTTTCTCATGATTACTATTATAGTTTATTGAGTCTTTGATACACTAACTGCTAGGCATTGTGCTATGAGAATGGTCATAAGTAGGTTATTCTTTTACTGAATACTCTGAGGTCCAGGACCACAGATGGGAAGCCCTAACTCCTAAGGCCACGGCTCCTTCTAATTCTCCATACTGCCTCCTCCTTCCAGTGCTCCCTGAACATGCCTCTCTGAGAGAATTTGCCATCAACAGCAGCATTATGATGGCTAGCACAAACTGAGAACTTTCTATACAACAAGCAGGTCACTTATATCATCTCAAACATCCCAACAGCAAATCTGATACAGGTACCTTTATCATCCCCATTTCACAGATAAGGAAACTGAAGCTGAAAGACTGACTTTCTCTAAGGCAACATGGTCAGAAAATTGCAAAACCCAGGCTTAGCTCTAGGCCCATCCCACCGCACAGCTAAATTTCTTAGCTCTGGCACCATGCTGATTCATGCTCTTGGTTTGGTTCACTTTTTATATCAATGCCTTGCTCAAGCGCTTAGTGGTATCTGCTTCTGAACAGCCCACCTACCCTCTGGTAGGTACTTGATACAGAATTCCCTGATTCTGACAATTTGTTTGGACTATTACATTTTGTACTTTACCTTATCTGCCAGACTGGACCCCTCCCAGCACCTGTCTTTGGGATTATTTTCCTGTCTCCATTCCCATGCCTGATCATTTTGAAGTTTCACTTCCTCCTATCTTTTGCTTCCTGCTACAGTTTGTTACGTCAAGCTCAGGCTGCATGCTGCAATATGGCAGTGGTTAATAGAAAACCCTGTCTGTATATTTATATCTCATGTAGGTGGAAAACCCTACTCATGACCTCAGCAGGGAAAAAAATGCAGCCATGCTGGGTGTGCCTTTGACCTACGCTTTCTTTTTTTTTTCCACATATTTTATATGTCGAATTCTATGGACTGTACACTTTACCAAAGAGAAGAAATTCTATCTGGCACTATACAGACTGGGAGAGGAAGCAAGTTGTGGAGAAATGCCCAACATAGGCAAAACTATGAGTTAGACAATTTTTCCTTGACCCTTTCTAACTTCTCTTGAAGGTACCTCTTCTGCTTCAATGCTTCATTTCACCTTTATTTTTAAAGGCTATCTGAGGAGAGTATAGTGTTCCTGCTTGATAGTTATTTTCTTTTTTCAAACTGAAGATACTGTTCTATGGTCCTTTTTGCTTCTCGTTATCACTGCTGAAAAGTCAGCATTCAATCTGCCACTTCCTAAAAGGCAATCTATTCCCCCACCCACCCACTCACCTGATTGATTGTAACATTTTCCTTTAGCTTTTTAGATAAGTATGTCTTACTATTTATTTCTATTTCCATTTCCATTTCTATTTCTATTTCTTGGCTGTTTGGGTTCCTTTGGATTCTTGTTCTTGTAAATTGATGCCTTTCATCGGTTTTAGAAAAATCTTAGTCATTTGCTCTTCAAATATTGCTTCTGCTCCATTTATCTCTCACTTTTCCTTCTGGGATTATAATTAAATGTATGTGATAACTTTTGTAGTTGTTCCCTATGTGTTTTGACCTCTTTTCTGTATTTTTCATCCTTCTGTTTACCCATACTTTTTCACAGATAGATTCTTCTGATTTATCTTCCAGTTCACTATTTCTCTCTTGATCTCTGTCAATTCTAATATGTCAGAAAATACTTCCACTGAGATATTAATTTCAACTGTATTTATCCAATTCTAAAGTTCTTAGTTGGTTTTCATATTTGCTATATCACTTTTATAGTTTTCAGTTCTTTGCTGAGTGTTTTAAGTTTGACTTTTATCTCCATGAGCTTGGCAATCACAGCTACTTACCAGTCAGGCATATTAGTGCCTTTGTTTCCCTTTTTTGTTATTCATGTTGTATCTCACTTATGTTATACTACCTCCTCACATACATGAATATCTTAATTTGCTGGCTATTGCATATGAAAGATTATTGGCAGAAATGAGGTCTAGGATGATTTTATCTCCCTTTCAAGATCTTAAATTGCTTTGGCTGGATGTCTAATGCATATGTGTATTAGCAACACAGGGTTCCTTCTCCTTATTCCATGGCTTGAGATTTTTGGACCACTCAGGTGAATTGAAGCTGGGATGCAAAGTCTGTGAAGGCTGTTTTACTTTCATTTTACTTAGGATATCAGAAAGTTTACCAGGACTTCCACTCTATTCAGGCCCTGGACTCAAACTTTTCTCCTTTTTCCCTGAGAGGCTCTCAGACATGCTACTAACCCTTTCTGGATCAGCACATGCCTTATCCCTACAAGCAAAAGCAATCCCAAATACTAGGCTCATAACTCTTTCAGATAGTAACTCAGAAATTTCATAGTACTTTGTAAATTCTTTGCTGCACTTAGGAAGACGTTTTTAAATATCATTCTAAAATTTGCAATTGTCTTTGTCAGGAGAGTTGGTCTGAGTTACCATTATGGAAAGCGGATGCTCTGACCTTAAGTCTGTATAAGCTTTGCCAGCTGAGACTCTGAAGACTCATTGAGAAGGTTAATACATAGTCATAAATCAACTGATCTTTTAAGTAGATTAATGATTTAGTCTTGTAAAATAATACTTGAAATCATACTGTTAAACTGGACTGGACTATTTTGAAAAATGTGCAACAACTTTTGAATTTTCTTGAGTTAAATTTGAAAGCTAGCCAGTTGGAGTTTATGCAGGAAATTGTCAGGAAACTAAACAGAAAGATCCATTAGCTGAGAGAATCTGGTTTATATTTGAATGAAATGTACCTACAACTGAAAGATGGAAAAACTTTTGTTTAAAAAAATCAAGTAACAAAAAATATTAAATTAAAAACAAAAAGAAAATCTCTAAATTAAACCTCTTCACTCCTACATTAAGCATACAGCATTAGTTTCAGGTGAGAATGTATTAAAGTTGTTGGCAGAAACAGAAACTTTTTGTCATTGAACTTAATATTAGCCACATTCCTTCTCTTCTACCCCATCTCTTAAAATCTATTCTGTCCTATCAGACACTGATGTGTTCAAATAGCAGATTGAGATATCCTCATTTCAAGAAAAAGTAGAATCCTGTGAAAACCCGCAGAGGCATAATAATAACTGATGTAAAGAAGTTATATACTATAACTTTCCTAATTTCTTTTGCAGCCAATTCTGCTCAAGGATATGTAAGGGAACTTCTGTGAACATTTTGCTTCTTTGATTAAAATACATATAAAAAATAGAAACAACTGACACTATTCCTTCTTTCTTTCTTCAGATTTGTACTCAGGATGCTGCAGCCAGTTTTTGACCATAAGGTAACAAATACAAAATGAAAAGCCAACACACTAACAATTGTAGAGCAGAAACTGAGTTGCTAAACAAACCCTGAGATTATCTACTTCCTCATTTGTATTAAGATAAAAAATAAATGTCCTTATATTTTAAGTTGCCAATAGTTAGGTTTCTTATGATTTGATGTTGGAAACACCTATAATTGTTACATTTACTAAATATTCTCATATGGCAATGCTTTGACCCAGGTTTGACAGAAGATGATACTTGAAATTTGCATCACTTACTGTAATACAAGAGTCCTGAGGTTCAAGATCAAAGTCAGTGAAGTTCAAGAGAACACGATGATTTCTTTGCACCTGAATGACCCAGGAACAGTCAGAGTCACTCCTATAAGGACTAGGGTAGTTTGGAGAATGAATATCTCCACTTGGAGTCTGGAAAATCCCACCACAACCTGTATGTAGAAAACCCAATTCAATAATAAGAGGAAACCCCAATGCATAAAACTTTACGTCATATTCCTGATAACATAAAACAATATGCTATTTTGTTTGACCACCAGTTTTACATAGTTGATGCTAAAAATTCTGAAGAACTGAATAAACATAATTAATTCATTCACCCCAACAAAACAAAGGAGGGTAATCTAAACAGTATGTACATATAATTATATATATATATATATATATATATATAATTCTCATTCAATTCAGACATAATTAACTTTAGGAGAAATCTAATATGCTCACTACATTATTTTGGGGTTGCAGAATTGAGGCCATAAGGTAGCCTGGGGTTACATCTCTGCTTCGGCATTTTCTAGCTGTGTGACATTGGACAAGTCACAGACTTCTCTAAGCTTCAATTTCCTGATTAGTAAGGTGAGGATATGAAATAAACTTCCCTCATAGGATGGTTGTGAGGATTAAATAAGAGAGTCCTTGTAGAATAGTTAGAATAGCACAGTGAGCATTCACAGTAGGTATGCAATAAACATGGCTATTTTTAGTAGTTGTATAGGTTAACATTTCCTAAAATATTTTGTGCATTAATTTTTTATTTATAAATCTACAACAGGTGATTTATTTAGACTGTCTAAGATCTTGGGCAGAAAATCACTATTTGAGATGGTAATTCCTTGGGATTCACAAATCTAATATTTACAGTTTTGGCCTTTGCCAAGCATCCAAAGGTCTACCCCAAGGCATGAAATGATGTACTGCTTTGCTGATGCCCAAATCTGAGACTGGAAAACACACACAAGTACCTTAGAGAATAAGTGAGTCCAACTAGTCACCCTTCTTTTGCTTCACCATGGACTTGCATACTTGCATGGACTGGTGTTCACATACAAGGTGACCCTTCACAAGTTAAACTCTTTTACATTTTTTAGGGAGGCTTATATCCCAAAGCGTATTTGCCATTTGGAAAGTATTTGCCATTTAGGAAGACACAAAGTTGTCAGGATGTACCCTTCATACTTCTCTCCAGTCATTTCATGAAATTTAACAAGGGCTCAACTTAAATATTTTAAGATACCTCCTTGGTTCACTCACCTCCAGGGACTGATTGCCATGAGGCATTGAAGCCTCTCCCATTTATGGAACTGTCGGTCTTAAATCGGATTGCTAGCTCATTTCCAGTGCTGGAGACCTGTAAGGGACTCTCAAGAGATGTTTGGGCACACAACTGGGCTATTCTGGGAGAGTGGAAATCAGGGCCTCCATAGACCTAAGATGGGGATGTAGAAAAAAAGACTTAAATGAACAGATGGATTTAAGCAATTTCAGCCCTTCCCTGACTCCCTTTAACCACCAGCTTTTGCATTCTATTATAATAAGAGACTGGAATTTCAGCCTTCCTGGGTGGGGAAGAACTATAAACTTGAGCTGGATTGTCAAAGGCACTCCCTCTGCCCTAGGAGACACAGGTTCAAACATTCATGAAATGCCTGCTTGTTCCATCAGCAGGATTGATAGAGCTGAACTGAATAGATTATTCCAGAATCTTCCTTACCTCCCCTCTTCCTCTTTTTCATGTGTTCATAGGATTCCTTGCTTTCTTTGGCAGAGGTATTGTAGATAATACAGTATCAAGTCTAA